AAGTCTAGTGATTATATCAATATTTAATCAACTACAAATGTTGTCTTTAAATAAAGCACTAACCATACAGATTAAGGAGGGGAAATAGAGGTATATTTTGCCATTGTGTAGATTGAGTGTGTGTTGAATACATCAAAGCAGTCTTATGTTCAGATCTGAACAATAAGGGAAAGGTGGGGTGATGCTGGGAGGGAGGCTCTTGAGTACTGGACTACATTACTGACAAAGATTGACTGGAAAACTTTTTCGGCCTGACAAGCTCTTGGCCGGGGCTCCTCAACAAGGAAAACAAGCAACATTCATCTATCCAGGGCTTTCATTTATATGCCAAAACATCAGTGGCAGAGCCCCTTCGCCAGCAATTTCATCATATGACTATCACATATGGACAGTGTTGGGTTACTAATAGCATGACGACTGGACTGCCAAGCAGCACTGCTGATATGACAGGAAGACAGAGGATGGCCACAGGATGGAATTATGGGTTTGTAGAGAGAAATTATGTAGCTACCTGATGAACTCATTTGCCTGGGGAATGAATGACAAAGCTAATGCTGAAAATTATTTAATGAGTAGCAGAGGGAGCTTCAGATGAAGTGCTAAAAGTTGATCTCTTCCAGGTCCTTATTAGGTCCTGATTAGGTTTTTGCATTTGCGCCAACTTAACAGACTAGGAGCTTTCTTTCCTGAGCATGGAGTTACTCCTGACATGCTAAACCATTGCCTTTCTCTTCTGTTGACACTGATTACTTTAAATGAGCCATACACAGACGTATCTTCTCCCTCCATGTGGGACTGAATATGCGTGTGCAGCTTGCAGCGTTTGTTGGACTTACAGAAACACAACATGTTGTTTTGGTAATTCGGCTTCCTTGTGTGCCACAGAGTAATCACGCACAGACATTTTTATTTTGGGATTTTATTAAAGAAGCTTTGCAGGATTCACAGTTCAAAATAATCTGTATGCATCTTATGGTGGGCTTCGGTGCACCTCATAAACAACAGGTGGACATGGTTTCAGTGCTTAGAGCCATATTGGGGATGGAGGCACTGACATCATGCAGGTGCAGGAGTAGAAAAAGACATTTCTGAAGCTGAGTGCTTAGAGCAGTCTGAGCTTTTGGCTTGTTCATATATTGATCTTACTTGAAAGTTTAATATGAATACCTGTGAATGGAGTCAGAAGCTGGGCTCAGAGATTGTGGCCTCTAAAGTGTCCGAGGCTCATACGGGCACATTAATATCTGCGTCACTCGCCACCCGCTGCTCACACAGCTCCAGTTTCAGGCAGCATTCAGAGGAAAAGTCGGGTCATGTGCTGAACCTCAGTTTTAATTAGCTAATGGCACTCCCTGTTTTATCTCATGCACCTGAGCTGATTGCTCACAAAAGACTCCATTTACTCCAGGAAACACACGGCATCTTGGCAGCAGGCTGCACTCTACATCTGAGCGTCTGCTGCAGAGGGACGCAGCCACTCTCTTCCAAAAAACAGTCTAGTAAATCTAAATATATATGTTAGCTGGTTTCACACCAGTGAAGAAAGAGGAAATTCCATGATCTATGCCTTTTTCCAGCAGGCCTCAACATCCAACTTTCCTTCAACAAGTCCTTTGACTGTGTGTCAGTCAGAGCGAGCGTGTGTGTTGGTGTTTGTCTCCGTATACACACATGTGCATACGTTTAGAAAGAGCGCTATTAAGCAGCTAATGCTGGCTGGCTTTTGTCATTGTGAAATGGAAGAGCGGCTCTTTGACTCGCCTTTAGCAACACGAAAACCTTTAAATGTATCATTTTATAGAGACGTTTGAAATAGTTAAAACGTCTCCTTATGTCACAAGATCCTACTCAATAATCATTTTACCTGAAATACATAAAACATATATATTTATATGAAGCTTTAATAATGTTTCCATATGAAAACAAAATTGCACTTGCCATGTGCTGCGCATAATTCACCGCATCAACAGTGTTTGTTCTAAAATTACAAAGTCCTTCTGAAAGACCATTACTATGACATTTAGCACAAACAGCTTGGAATAAGCAACATTTTATTTATGCTCGAAGTGCAGAATGAATCCTGCATCCCGCCGCAACATAAGCCCCTTTTAAAAACATTTAAAGCGCACCAATGTTTTAAAATTTTATGAGCACATTTTTCTCCAACATTTGATCTAAACTGCTTTGCCAAACCAACCAAATAAAGAGCACAACACTGTACTCTTGCCTGAAGTCACTGTGCCATGTAAACACGCCGCCCTTTGCACACAGAGCTTCAGCGGTTTAAGAAAGATGTTTTCTGAAGTTCATAGCTCCCAGTGCAGCCTTCAGACACTTCAAATCCACAAGGCCGGCCTCTGACAAAGAAGAACAATATCAAAGTCTAGGACCATGACAGGGCTGCTCTTGCTGGATATATTTTTAATATTTATGCAGACGCAGGAAAAAATGCAATAAACTAAAACAACAAGTGAATTAGGCATGAAACACAACAGGATATTGCAGAGAGATTATGTTGTTTCCTTTTCGCCCGTGTGTCCCTCGGCATTTGCTTGCCCTGTGCAACAACTCAGGGCTGGCTTTAATTGGAGAGAATAGGAACAAAAAATATTTTCTAAAAAGGTAGCGCAACATTTTAAGAGCCTCAAATTCAGTCGTCGACTTATTTCTCAAATGGGACATTTGGTAAGATATTAGCCAGGTGACAGACCCACGCAGGGGACGAGGTACGACTGTGTGTTGTGATAATGACTTTTTGCCGTCAAGATGCAGCATGAAGCGACTCCTGTGCAGCTGCATGAAGAAAGTAGAAAGAGTGTATATATGGAGCAGGAGGGGGGGGGAGATGTGTTATGTTTGGATGTCGGGCAGGCCTCGCTTCATGAGCGCCTGCTGGAATCTGCCGCTAGAAAGATAATAAAAGGATTAGCCCTGTTGTTTCTAGAGCATTTGGTCCTAAAACAGAAGGTCTCATCTGTTTCCTCTATATGAATTGCTCGAATTCTTGAATGCCTTTGTCTATTGCATGAGCACAAGGAGCACAAGAGGCATCAGTGCTAGTGGAAAAAAGCGCACGTACCCAGACACCAGAAAAAGAAAGAAAGAAAAACTAAGAAGGTACTTGAGACGGTTTTCAGACGCACACAGAGACACAAGGTTTCCAATGAGGGCAGAGCATTTACTTAAACGTGTATAGACTACAAAAACACAAACAGAGTTACAAATACACACACACACACAGAGTGTGTTTATTTTCCCAGGGCCTCAGAGTTTATCTGCTGAAGTCCCGGATCAACATACATTAAATCCCAGATGATTAGATGTGTTGATGCAAGCTTTAAATCATTTCTTATTTATGTTGGTTTTTTCTGGGGGGAAACCACGAGTGTTACAATTCATTGTACTGCACATGGAATCAATACTTCCTATTGTGAGAGTGATTCAATGTACTGCCATTGCCGTGACTTTGTTTTTTCATGCATTGAGCATAAACAGGAGGTTAAGGTGAGTTTCACAGTGACTCACATCCGCAGACAAAGTCCAGTGTCGTGTCCACACTGAGACGAATTGTTCTCTCACATGTGGTAAACATCTCCAAAAACACACCTCGGCGCAACATTTATGCACACCTATACGAAACGCATAAATCTGCTGTGTGTCACCAGACGTGCTGTGCCTGCTGTGCAAACACACATTGCTTTAATGAGCAACAACAACAACAACAAAAAAGGGACAAATGAAAGCCTGTAATACAACGCAACGCTGAATTAACAGTTTAGGCACGAACAGCAAATTACTTCCAAATTTTTACTGAGCCAAGGAAGCAGAGACACTAATACCCCAGAGTGACGCAAAGCAGGGAGAACAGCAGCAACAGTTGAGTTTGTGTCTTTTTGCCTTCGGTCAGCAGATGTGTAACAGCAAGCAGGAGAATTAGTAGATTCAGCATGAATGTCTTAATTAGCGCACAAGGACGGTAAAACCAGCCTCTCCCTTTAGTTCATTTCACAAGCCACTGGTTTTTTAGGAAAACAAACAAGATCTGGAGAACAAGGCGCTACAGAAATATAATACATTTTTTCAATTATCATTTGGATTTGGATGAATTCTTCAACCTGAAGAAGACCGCTGACAGAGAGAGATTTGGGTGAAGCCTCCGTGTCTCACTTCTCCAGACTACATTTCTCCTCATGTTTGCCTTGGATATGAATCCAACTCACTTAATACTTGTGGGACAGCTAAACTTTTAAAGCTCCCATTTAATGTGGGCATTGTTTGGTTATGTTAACCACATGCGTTGGCTTTTCACGACTGAATCCCTTCTCAAAAAACGAAGTGCCCGTGAAAATAAACACGGCTTCTTGCTACACAAATTGTGCACTAATTGTGTATTTGGACTGAATCGTTTTAAAGGTTGGAGGGCATTTTCCATTCGTGAAGGGACGCTGGGAGGTGACAGCTTGACGCTGATTAGTGTGTTGATTTGTGCAACCTGAAGCCTTACCTGCAAATACAACCGCAAATCTATTTATGCTGACGAAGGACTGCTGCTCTTACGGCATTTCACATCTCCAGTGGAAGAAAAACTCTTTTGTGTTTTGCATGTTCCACTTGAAATACGGGAATTACAATCATAACTGTTTCTCAACCAAAACAAAATAAGAGTTTCTGTTGAAATTTAATCAGCAGTGAAGCAAGGCCAGTCCTTTTTTTTCTGGATACAACATGTATCTTTCTGAGAAAAAAAATCTTCTTGAATTACTGTATTATGTTGTGAAATATGTGCTTGTATTTAATTTAAACAAAAAAAAAAATCCCAGATGGTTTCAATTATGAGATAAACTACACTCATATTAAAGTAATAAATACAACGAAGACCTTCAGAAGGAATAAGAACGCTGACTACGAGGGGATGTTTCACAATATTCTACGTATATGTTTTGAATCTTTTGGCTTTGGTCTGTGGTGGGAGAAGAACTTAGTGGTTTATGATGACTCACCATACACTTGTTGGGTTTCTCTCCAGAATGGACCCTCATGTGAATGAGCAGCTTGTAGCGTGCATTGAAGGGCTTGTAGCGCCGAATACAGCCAGCCCAGAAACAGGTGAAGTCCTCACCTTTGCGTTGGTCGATGTGGACCTTTTCAATATGTCTCACAAGCTCCTCCTGCTGCTCAAAAGCAGCACTGCAGTCAATCCAGCGACACACCTGTTTATCCACCAGCCCTCCTCCTCCGACTTCTTCCGGCTCGGGGGCTGCGTGGGCCACCGCAGGGCCTCCTGAGGTTGGCTTGAGTCCGAGGGAAGAGCCTGGAGTTGTCTGCTGGTTGTGATGGTGTAGTGGGCCGTTGGGAGTGGGCCCCACATATTGGTGCAAGTGGTAAGGCGGAGGCATGGCCGATCGAGGTGGGTGGTGAGCGTGACGAAGATTCCCACTGCGCCCACTTAAGTGATGGTGATGATGATAGTGGTGCTGAAAGAGTTTGTCTTCGCTGGGAGAGAAGTCGTCGAGCGGTTCCTGCTTGAGGACAGCCCCAGATCTTTGGCCCCCATCTGGGAGACCCCCACCCTGAGGCCCCGAATGCAGAGTCCCAGACATCAGGGCCCCACTCATCAGTAGCCCCAACCCGTCTGAGCCTCCTCCTCCTCCTCCCTCAGCTGTTCCTCCAGCCCCACGCCCCTGCAGCATGGAGCCCTGCTCCTCGCACAGCCCCAGGCTCTGCCCTTGGCCTTGCTCCGGCTCCCCTAATGACACTGAAGAAGAGGATGAGGAAGAGGAAAGAGACAACAGGCAGGTGGCAGGTGAGGACAGCTGACAGCTCTCCTGCAGTGCAGCCTGCTGGGGGCTGCTGTGTGGTGGGGGCCTCTGGGGGGCTTCCCGTGAGCAGGAGTTAGAGGGTGGGGAAGCAGTAGAGGAGGAGGAGGAGGAAGAGAAGCCGGCGCTGCTGGTGTTGCTTGGCGAGAGGTTAGCACGGAACCCGTTGACGCAGGCGACCATCGACATCTGGGAGGAGGAGCAGATGATTGCGGTGATATTGATCTCCTCAGAAGCGGTGCCAACAGCTGATGGGGAACCGGTGGCAGCAGCGGCGGTGGATTGCGAGGCCAGGGACAGGCAGCGTCTCTTCAGACTGCCAGCGCTGAGCAGCCGCGCTGAATGACGGGAGCCAATTGGAGACAAAGCCAGCGGGGAGGAGCCATCTTCATTATTAAACGGTTGTCCTGCGTCTCCTGGCACAGCGCTACCTACACCGCTCACTGCACATACGCCATTACCGCTGTTGCTAATATGCAGTGACCCAACCATCTCATCCCTGGCCACCTCCAAAACTTGGCCTGCAGCGTGGGCCTGAAATCCAGCCTGAGATGAAGACTCCACGTTGGAGATCTTGTAGCCCATCGAGCTCTCCTGTTTGACTGGGTAAGGGAGAGAGGAGCGAACGCCGCTGGCGCCGCAGCCCAGGCTGGGTGAGGCCCCTGGCAGGGTCCTCCCGAAGGCAGAGGAGGATCTGCGGGGAGAAAAATACAAAAGGAATGTGAGCACTATTAGCTCAGTGCCTGTTGACAGACAGGCTGGTTCATCCTTCCCACCAACATCGCTGTCAGTGTTCTGCCTTTTCATACTGTCGTTTCATACTCTATTTTCCTTCAGTTTAAAATGAAAATCACGTAAAAGGTCCCAATAACCTAAAATATTTCAGCTGAGCCTCCCGTATCAGAAGGGAGTTATGGATGGAATAGACCATGACAAGCGAACAGCAACAGAAAATTGTTGATAATCCAAAGTGGCTTCTTTTAATGAATAAATGAAAGAGGATCTTCTTGTAGTGAGGGGATATGAATGGGCATTTAAGACTAATAATAGAGCGAGGGGGAGGGTTGGATGGCGACTGAGACCGAGAGGCCACTGGCTGGTGTGTCCATCTGACGGGCTTTGATGACACAAAGGGGTTAAACCCAACCCAACAGTGGGGATAAATAGGGAGTCACCTGTTTTGGTGGTATAATTGCAGCCTATGAAGGGTCACCATTTACAATACTGTGTATTATGGTGGGAATCTTTGCCTTGCTGAATGGGGAACCCAGGTCATGTTTCTCCATGCGTTGCTGTGATCTCCTACATAATCATTCCTGTCAGTTGGCTCATTATGGATTTTGTCCAAAGCCCCTGAGTGATGTGAGAAGAGCTCTCTTTTTCCCTGGCTGTCGTCTTTGTCTCTTCCCCAGAGCACGCCCAGGAAAAAACAGCACTAATGCTAACTGGGACAGGAGAAAGCCACTGGCAGGCCTTGTCATCATTGCTGTTAATAAAGACTTGACCCCTCTTCTTATTTTTTTTCTATTCGGTAGCCTCATTTCCTCTTCGGCTGTACTGAAAATATTGAGAGACAATACGGGAGAAATGAAAGTCTGTCCAGACGCTTTCAGCCGGATGGCTAAGACGAGAGAGAGAGAGAGAGGAGTCGGGGGAGGGAGAAGGAGGACAAATCCACTTCTGCCTTGACCAACAGTAGTCACAATTTGCACACGGAGGAATTGCATTAGTGTAGCATAAATGTTGTACTTCAGTGTGTTTTATGAGGCCGCTGGGCAATGCTGTCTAGCAACATATGTGTGCAACTGATTCACAATAGCAAACATAATGAGAACCATATTGTACCTGCATATTGTTAGTAACACTACACCAAACAGGAAACATTCAGAACTGGAAGTGGAAAAATATGATATCAAACGGGAACAGTGACACTTCACCTGGCGTCTTGATGAGGCCCATCCTGCAGAAGGAGGTCAGGTGTAGGTCTGCTGCACTGGAGGCTCTGGGAGTAAAGCCCCTCCGAATGACCTCCCGCTGGAAGCAGCAGGCTCTGCCCACATCGCATCAGGGGGCCCTCGGCATTGCCCAGCTCAGCATTTGCATCCTTCTCTGAGCAGTAGGTCCCATTCACTGGAAATGGACAGAGATAATATTACTAAATAGTCTACTTCACAAACTGCACACCTTTTGTCAAAGCAGACCAACACATGCGTTGTGCGTGCTGATATCAAGGTATGGTTTTAGCTAGAAGAACACTGACCCGATGTTACTCTCAAATTAAAAGTTGGCTAAAGCTAAAGCTCAGTGATCTGCTGACCGTCCTGGAAAAAGAGCCAGCTGAAAATAATCAGTTTACAATGGGATGCATGCAATCACGGACATGTTGAAACTCTATTACATTATGAATATTCTCTCGAGGAATAGTTGTTGGCTGCCTCAACTATCACCGCGTCGAGTGATACACAGAGAGCTCTTTGGCAATATCCGACTGGTGGCTGTAAGAATAACGTCACATATTAGTGCTGGAGTAACGAAGAAATTCTAATCCAAATGTCATTTTGGAAAAAGAGCTAACTCAGCCAAATGAAGTGAAACTGTTTTATCTTTCAAGACCTTTAATTAAAAAAATTAAATATCAATCATTTTAATTGTTATCATTTATCACATTTTATCATTTATTTGTTTCACTGGCTAATTTATATTTTGTAACAAGTCTAATGTAAGTAGGCGGTGAGTTAACATAAAAATCAAGAGCTATTGCACTAAACACAAAGATGTTTATCATCTCAGAAAAAATAACAATTAAAAATATACAAATAAATAAAAGGAGCATAACTGCTGAGGAGTTAAGACAAAATTCATTTTTCTGACTAAAGAAAAAAAACAGGAAAATGTGTTAAATTCAAATCTGTCATAACCTGTCATTTTATTCAAATGTGTTTTTTAACACGTTTGTCTAATGCGATTACTTGATGAAGATTGCATACTTTATGATTGTGGCCATAAATGTAATAAAAAAAACAAAGAGAGGGATGAATGTGAGAGAAGGGAGGGCTTGGTGTATGAGGAAATGTTTTTGAAGGGTAAGTCGATATCCCCACGCTCGTGTGCAGGCGACTGCGCGTCCCCTGTTCCAACTTTCTTAACTCAATTTCTTAAATTTAATTTTCTGCTAACAATATTACTGATAATGTTATCACACACTACAAGCTATAATTAATAAAACCAACCAACTATTCTGTATGTGAAAGAAAACATTAAGAAGGAAAAAAAGACAAAAAGCACGTAAAGGAGAAAATCTACTAAATGTAGTGAAACGTGCAAAAATAGGGATTTATGAAAAAGGAAAAAGAAAGGCGTAAGAAAGCTATTACAACATTAGTAACAGATGGAAAGAGAACAGAAGAGAGAGAGGGAGGGAATGTTTTGGAATATGGGAAAAAGGTTATAAGAATGAACAAAAGACAAGAGAAAACAAGGGCACTTTGTGGTCATGTTATCCTCAGTTTAACAAACATATTTTCACATATCCTTCCTACAGCTGACGAGCCCAAGTCTCCGCTGCGTTTGTCTTTTCGTGGGTCACAGCAGAAACACAAAGAAGTAGAGAAAAGGCAAAGCGAGCAACGCAAACAGTGCAGCATCGCCAAGGGAACAACGCTGCTTTCACTCAAAACTGTTAACAGAAGGCGAGATGAATTTCAGCTCTCGCCTGTTTTCAAGCAACACAAATCACTCTGTTTATCAAAATCTGGACCGCTCCACTTTGTTTTATTTCATTTATTTATTTATTTTTACCATTTGTTGGCCGAGCATCTCACCGGTTAGTGTATACAAATGAGTTTCTGTATGAAATCTTCAAGGCCCGACGATGTGAACCAAGCATCTCCCCGCCTTAGGTTAGAAATCAATCAGGCTTTGACTGAATGCACATGCACTCGCACACATATGTCCTAGTTACCAGCCTTTATTAATAATAAAAAAACAAAATACGAAATACGAGACAGTGTTCATTACTCCCTTCCACAATAATGATGTTTGCAGGAAAAGAAACGAATTACAAACAGAGATAAACAAGATAAATATCTAGAAACGATGATAACCTGTCTTAAAATTGATTTACAATAACAGGTGCAGAATTCATTTGCTGTTTTGCAGGACAGTCTAAACAGAAAGAAAGTGCACCCTCTGTCACTTCTAAGCTTTTATATATCAGGATATAATAATTTATGTCCTTTGAACGTCTTTAAATTAGGGACATATAACCTGAGACGAACAACATAATATGACGTAGTTCACCTCGTCATTGTCGATTCAATGCAAAATGCAGAAGCATTATGTGAAGAACTAAGTACACCCCAAGATTTAATACACTGTCCAATAGACGGTCTCGCATTTGACTTTAAAACACTTTCACGTTTGGCTCAATGACTGCAAGGCGCTTCGGCCCCGCGGCTGCAGAACAAGACCAAATCGTCACCCCTCCACCACCTTGCTTGACAATTTAAGATAAGATAAGATAAGATAACCTTTATTAGTCCCACACGTGGGAAATTTGTTTTGTCACAGCAGGAAGTGGACAGTGCAAAAGTTATGACGCAAAAATTAGAATACAATAAGAATAAATACAGTACACAGCTGTACAGAATAGAATAAAATAATATACTATATACAGTAGAATAAAATAGAATAAAATAATATACAATAAGATAAAAATAGAATACGAATGCTATATACAACTGAGTAAAAATACAACGATGCCAGAAAAGATTATTGCACTTAGTGTTATTGCACGTGTGGATGTGTGTGTTTGTTCAGTTAAAGTCTTTGTTGTGGAGTCTGACAGCAGTGGGGAGGAAAGACCTGCGAAATCTCTCCGTCCCACACCGTGGGTGCCGCAGTCTCCCACTGAAGGAGCTGCTCAGTGCTGTCACAGTCTGCTGCATGGGGTGGGAGACGTTGTCCATCAGGGATGACAGCTTAGCCGCCATTCTCCTGTCACTCACCACCTACACTGGTCCAGAGGGCATCCTAGAACAGAGCTGGCCCTTCGGATCACCCTGTTCAGTCTCTTCCTGTCCCCAGCAGAGATGCTGCCGCCCCAGCAGACCACACCATAAAAGATAGCAGAAGCCACCACAGAGTCATAGAAGGTCTTCAGGAGTGGGCCCTCCACCCCAAACGACCTGAGTCTCCGCAGCAGGTACAGCCTGCTCTGCCCTTTCCTGTAGAGGGCGTCTGAGTTATGAGTCCAGTCCAGTCTGTTGTTCAGATGAACACCAAGGTACTTGTAGCTGTCCACAGCCTCAATGTCCATACCCTGGATGTTCAGTGGTTGCAGTGGAGAATGCTTGTGCCTGTGGAAGTCTACCACCAGCTCCTTGGTTTTACTGGCGTTGATCTGGAGGTAGTTCAGCTGGCACCAGTCCACAAAGTCTTGAGTCAGTCCTCTGTACTCCTTGTCGTCCCCATCAGTGATGAGGCCGACTATTGCAGAGTCATCAGAGAACTTCTGCAGGAAGCACTGGGTGGAATTGTGGGAGAAGTCTGCAGTGTAGATGGTGAAGAGGAACGGAGCCAGAACCGTTCCCTGTGGGGCCCCCGTACTGCAGACGACCCTGTCCGACACACAGCCCTGAGTCCTCACATACTGTGGTCGGTCGGTGAGGTAGTACAGGATCCAGGTAGTGAGGTGATGGTCCACTCCAGAGTTCTCCAGCTTGTCCTTCAGAACCGAGGGAAGAATAGTGTTGAAGGCACTGGAGAAATCAAAGAACATGATTCTCACAGTGCTTCCAGCGGTCTCCAGGTGAGCGAGGGAACGATGTAGGAGGTGAATGACGGCATCATCCGCGCCAATGCCAGGCTGGTAGGCAAACTGAAGTGGGTCCAGTGATGAGCTTATTAGGCGCCGAAGCTGAGCCAGGACCAACCGCTCCAGGGTCTTCATCAGGTGGGATGTCAGAGCCACCGGCCTGTAGCTGTTGAGGTCCTTGGGGCGTGAGGTGTTAGGTTTTCTCCAAACGTGGAGCTGTGCATTATGGCCAAACATCTCCGCTTTGCTCTTTCGAACTTTTCTGAGAGAGGAGGCTTTCTCCTGGCAGCCCACTCAGTCTTTTTCTATTTGTACCGTCAGAGATGAAGCTCTTGGCTTTTTTGCATTTCTCTCATCACTGCGCAGTCTGACCTGTGTGAGTTTGCTGGGACATCCACTCTTGGGAAGATGTGCATCTGTCTTAAGTGTTTTCCTGTGAATAATCTTTTCACTGTAGAATAACAGCCTCATAAATAACCTCCCAGCAGCTCACAATTCAAAAGGGTGTACGTAATGCTTCACATACGGTTTCTGCATTTTGGCTTGATTTTTGTGAAATATAAATTGTCACAGTGCAACATGTGAAGTGTTTTTGTTTTTGCTCATCTGACATTATATTTACTTGCTTAAGGTTCTTGTGTGGCTCAAGGTGTTTAGACAATTTCTACATTTTTTTATTATATTAAAAAAAATGTGCAGGAAAAAAGAAATTCAACAGTTGTGTTTTTAACTCTTAACTACAAAACCAATTCCTAAACACTGGCCCGTGATCCTCGGGCCCTCAGAGGGAACCGCATTAAAAACAGGCATGATTCTGCCATGGAAATCACACCATGAGATTGGGAACACTTCCAGAAAACACTGTCTTAAACACAGTTCACTGTGCCATCCACAAAGGCAGGTTTAAAGCAAAGAAGAAGCCATGTGAGTGTATCCAGAAACACTGCCGTCTTCTCTGGGCCAAGCTCTTTAAAATGGACGTAGGAAACGTGGAAAACTGTAATTTGGTCAGATTCTTTTTGGAAAATACGAGATGCTCCGTTCAAAAGCCTGTATCTCTGATGCTATAGGGGTGTATATGGAGTTAGCAGCCTGAACATCTGGAAAGGCACCATCAATGCTTAAAGGCATATACAGGTTTCACAGCAACAATGCTAAACCCCAAACTGTGGCTATTCCAACAGCGCGGCTTGGTGGTAGAAGAGCGCTCGACTGACCTGGGGACTGCACCAGATGAAAACATCTGGCACATAATGAAACAAAACTATGACAACCCAGGACTGTGGGGCAGCTATGATTCTATATCAGACAAGAA